TTCAACCCCGGGGTTGAAAACTTCACAAGGCTATATTATCCACATTTTACAACATCTCGCAACGAAACTTTGGAATATTACTAATTTTGTGATGCTCTTTCAAGCTGTGATGAAATTTTTGTCTAGATCAAAATTTAGTCTATTACGCAAATGGTCAATTAAAACAAGAAACTTCCCGCGCTTGCGTCTCAGCCAATCAGGCACAAGTAATTTTGCCCTAAATTAAGAATTGCCTCCTCATTAGCCAATCATATACATATTTGAGTAATTTTGCCCTCTATATGATTATTACTGAAACTTACTTGTAAATTCGTACAAGCCAATGTTCAGTCGTAAAGACTTCGTCTAAGTAGGTGAGTTTGACATTCTTGTTTCCAATTTCAACATTTCGTGTGCGATCAAAACCTGAAGGTGTCCTGAAGTCCAACTGGAATAAAAACATTGATAAAGGGATATGGCAACAAAAATTAAGTCTGTCTCATTTGATTGAACTTTTAAAATTATATATAAAATCCCTTTACCGATTTTTCATATCTTGCTTATAGTTTGTGAAATATTTTCAATGAAAACAGTAAGCTGTTGATGCTTAAAATATTGCAACCATTTGTTATTTGAAATAGTGACCGAAATATAATTTTGAATATAAAAGACATTATCGCGGGTGGACCGTTTGCCATGCAGGCTACGCGACACACTGAAGGCAGCCTAGACCTAGGCCTTTACTCGGCTGGCTTTGGCAGGTTTGGTCAATTTCGGGCTAGCATTTGGTAAGTATAAAATAAGAATAAAAATAGAAGGTCTGGGCTGCACTGAAGGATAGTTTTATCACCTGCAAGTCGCCAAATCTATGATAACACAACTTGTACATCAAACAGTTAAGTAGGGTCTGTGAACCAGCTGCATCAACACGGAATTCACCATTTGGAGTAAAATAATCAGATTCCTATAAATAGAACATATAAAGTATAAAACTACAGAATATTGATTATTATAGTATGGACAAATCATGATCGCAATTTAATGCCGGAGTTACACATGCTAAGATAAAGCTGAATAGTGCACACATTTTGTAGTTGATTACATGCTGGGGAGGTGATGCGAGTAGAATTCCCAAATAAACTCAGTTGATAAAATATTAATAAGTAGCACGTTTTTACTATGAAAATAGTTTGCAATGGACTAGTGCATTAGTGTGTATTAGTTTTCACTCGCATAGTGCTGTAAAAACCGGGATAATATAAACCGGACGTCTAATAGCCTGCCACTTAGTTTTAGCCAAGTACATTATATTTGCAAGAAGACATAATGGAAAACATGTTTCATTCTTAGAAACTACAGAATGGCGGCACTCTAATATATTAGTCAATTAAACTTACTATTGTCAGAACTTCTCAAGTCTGACAGGTTATTATGATCTATATACATAACATATACCTTTATATCTTTCGGATGTTCTCCCTCTGCAATCCTGACCATCCAGAGAAATTTATTAATATCATCACCAGAGTAACCAATTACCCCACCAAATATGACCAAGACATAATCCACGTCCAGTGAACGCATTATTTTATAAGCTGCCGTTTCATTTGATGACATTGCTTTACCAACCTTCAGATTGAAAAATATATATACTGAGAAGTCGTTAACTATACTTGTTACCATAGTTGTTACCAATGCATACCGTATTTCGGTATACTTGATCAAATTAACTCTCATGCTGCCATGCACAAACAGCAAAACCTTGTTGACTCATACCTACTGTAACTGAAAATCGGTCAAATGAGAGAAAAAGCTAGAGTACAACGTAATCGGTTCTATTCACCACAGCGCATGTAGCGGGAGGGGACGAAGCTGACCTTCCAACTTTTCTTCTCTCACATCTCCAAAAGAAGACAAATAACCCTCTTCCACATTTCCCAAGTTTTTTCCCCATTTCCCTTACCAGTGCAAACATTACATTAAACATTTACCATGGCAATATGACTGTTGTTCCATGTGTTGTTATCCACAAGTGTTGTTCTATTGGCCATCCCAGCAATCTGATATCCATAATCCCACCACGACATCACTCTGAATAAAATGTACAAAATTCATGTTTATATGAGCTGAAACTGTAGCGTGGGATGACAGTACAAAAATTCCTTTCTCATTGCGTTTCTCACTCGATAAAAAGATGAAAACAAAATCGGTATTGAGTACATCATTGAATACCTCTTACCTCGCATCATCTGGTGTGTTTTGGCGTAACCAAAAGTAAGCCTCTCTAAAATCATCCAGAATATTTCGACTCCTGTAGAAAAAGAGAACATTACCAATGCATCACATATGTGATATGATCACGATCTTTGAAGGTGAAATTTAAAACAACAAATCTACAAATTCCAAGTGCGAAAAAAACAATTGCATACAGCATGTGTCGCATACAGTATGAGGCTTTGTCATAGATATCTTATATACACTAGATAGCGCATTTCTTTTATTAAAATTGAAGCCAAGAATATTCCAGCGGTTACCCCCATTTGAATAGATGGCGGCCATATTGGTCGTTCCCACTTGCTAATAAACGCTTAAAAACAACAATAACTCGACGTTTCGAGCGAAGGCCCTTCGTCAAGAGTTAGTAGCCCAAACTACTACCCGCTACTAACTCTTGACGAAGGGCCTTCGCTCGAAACGTCGAGTTTCTGCTTGTTTTCTAAGGTAGTAATATAACCACTCAGCACAGCATTTTCTCATTGGTACTACCTACACTGGTACAGACAGTTTTAGTATAAAAACAACAATAACTTTCATCATTTGAATAGTTTAAAAACGTACTTGGAATAGGGTTAACTTAATGTTTAAGTTCCCTGTTTAAGGAATAGAAAACATACGAATCTTCTCATTTCATGGAAACGACCTGAGACTTCAATCCAATCACGGCTTCAATTTTTGAATTGCAGAATAATTAGATGCACTATCTAGTGTATATAAGATATCTATGGGCTTTGTACTTTTATCACAGAATATTTGCTTCAATGAATTCGCAATGTCTGCAACATCGCACGGCTGCGGAAATTGACGTCCAGTCCCTTACAGCAGCACCAAGATTATTATATTATTATAGTTTAACGATCGGCACTGGATGCATCAAGTTCTGCCATCTTGGCTTCGCCTTTCTCATAGGCCGACCTGAAGATAATTACTTCATGTATACATACAGAGAGAGCTCCCTGCGACACACGTAACAGAACAACAAATAGACATCTAGACAATGAACATGGGCAAGAGTGGCAGGGATACCACAACAGTGTAAACTATGGGCCCTTTATACAAAAATACACACAATTATGATAACATACATGGACAGGAGACTAAAAACAACAAGTTAGTTTAGAACGTAAGTGACGACTATAGTGTTAAACTTCAGACATATAGTCTTCCATGTCCTCGGATCTTCTTCGTTGAAGCATTCTCTCAGGGCTTTCAGGTAGTAAGTTTGTAAATCAGTTTTGAATTGCCTATTATTGATGCCAGGAGATTTTAGATTATGAATACATTCCTACGTTTAATGGGTTTTAATATACGCAACTGTTCAAAAGACCTCCTCTACTTGGACGGAGAATTTCTAAAGAGCGAAGAAATTTCAATGTCCTGGACACGAAAGCGATTGTTGAATGGAGCCAATGAATATCACTGTTCGGAAAAGTTATCTGGTTTGAATGTCATAACTGGCTTACCCATCATAGTTTGTCGAGGCCAAGACAACAGAAGGACTGGAATATGCATTACTGGTGACCCACGTGCAATGAACGGCATATAACATCAGTACCATCAACATACACATGACTACGATTCCACCAAGGTTTGTTGCAGACGCAGCAGCTGTAGTGGGTTCAGTTTCCTTTTCCTCTGAAGTTCTTGATGACGTACCAGATTGAGATAATTGACGTTCTCTTTTCTTTGCCGGTTTTATTGCTCCTTTCGATTTGGATGCCTAAAATGAAATACGTACATAACACGGCCTGCTACTGAATTGTCCTTAAAAATTATAAGGGTATATATAACAGGGGGTTGTACGAAGGCCGGATGGAGCTATCCACTGAATAATGATTTTTTCAGAAGCTTTCTAAAATTGTCTGTTGATTGATATAACCAAGCATTTTCACGAAGGTTGAAAAAATTCGCACTGTCCGGGTGTAAAGCGCTATCCAGCCTCCGTACTCTAGGGAGTACGAACCGTCCAATGTTATGGACAAATAATATAAATAAATTTTTTTCTGGAAATCCAAACTCCTAAAAACGTCTATCGTAGTGACTTTAATCTCAGATCTGGTCTTGGCAAAACGTTTGAATCGACATGCTGATGTATTCCCCCCACCCCTGATAATAACGGGTGCTTCCAAATTAAGTAAACCTAAAGATCTGTATAGAATCCTGGATTGAGAACTGACAATGGTTGATTCAAGGATTGGCGGAATGTTATTCAGTTGCCTCCCCCGGTTCAATGTTGACAGTTTATAAATTGGTTAGGTGAAAGCTTTGTGAAATGCATGTCAAAACCAACATTGTAGAGGGGAGGGGTGGAGACAAAGACGCCTACATATGTATGTGAACAGTAATAATTTAGTTTACACCTGTGTCCACTGACATTTTGCCATGATTGTAGATTGCAGGGGACATAGCTACTCTGCTCTGGAAAAAAAACATTGGCTCTCGTACGTGAAATCATTCCAATGAAATACTAGTAGCCTTCGTGCACATTCCAAATCCTACTCATTGCGTAATTTATGCGTTGTAAATCCTGACAAACTACAGGTTAGCCGGCACGCCCTATAAACATTTGCTTGCATGCAACTGACAGTCTAGCATATTTTGTGTTACCGAGTGGCCCAAATTGGGCAAACTGAAAAAGTGCTTGACTGCTGCGAGAATCGAAGCCGTGACCTCTGGTCTGCTAGTCCAACTAGAACGACCTAATTTCGCAGCTCAGTTGGTAGAGTGTTGGACTAACAAACCGCAGGGTGCGGGTTCGATCTTGCCCAGTGTGGTAGCATCATATTTCTAATATGAAATTCCAAATCCCACCTTTTTCTTGTCATAATTTGTTTCTTTCTGTTCTTCCTCATCTTCTCTTTCTTCTTCCTCTCCTTCTTCAATAGGTATAGCATCAACATGAATGTAGTTATCCAGAGTCACTGAGAAGGCAATCGAGGCCAAGACACATACTACTGGTGTTAGAGTCAGCATAAGACGCACCATGACTCCAGCAAAATACGAGGCAGTTACAGCGTACAACACAACTACACAAGAAATGAAATTCGGTTAAGCAGTGAATCTTCTATCAAGCCCCTCATCCCCTTTTAATAAGCTTTCCCTTGGGGGGAAACACTGTAAACACTGCGATTATTTTTTGATCCACACAAAAACTACAAAAGATCTCTTTAAAGTGTTGTGCTAAAGCCTGGTTTCCATATGGTCGTAACTGCCGCGAACGTGGAAACATGAAGAAAAGTCTTGTCGCGACACGCTGGCAACAGTTCACGACAGTTACCAGTGTCCCCCTTTGGGGGAACGTGTTTGTCATTTTAAAACAGCCGCCAGCTGCTTGTACGATCCCTGGGTACGAAATCAACTTGCAACAGTGCACAACAGTTACAACGATATGGAAACAAGCATAAAAATAATTTATGGCAAACACTTCACGACACGTTCGCGACAGTTACGAACTTATGACTATATGGAAACCAGGCTTAAGAGGAAACTTTTTGTTTTTTGTTTATTTTAATTTACGTTGGACAAAGCTACAGTTCGGTTGGACACCAACACACTTAGGTCGGACAAACAATAAACCTCAGTTTCACTTTGGTCGGACAGAATGTCCGGTGGTTTCCTCTCTACGTCGGACAATTTAACGAATGGGTCGGACAATGTCCGTGATCGACCGATATTTTAAGGCCTGAAAACTAGTGAGTATATACAGCACGACTAATTTTTAATACGTTTCTCAATCGGCAAACGAACTTGAAAAGTATGGTTAGTATTTATCTGTAAAATAATGCTAAAATATGAAGAGGTTTTTAATGGTACGCTATTGTTTATATTGCTTAAAGGGATATGGCAACGTATATTTTTATTATTTCATTTGGAAGAACTTTTAAAATTATATGTAAATCTCCTTTATCGATTTTGCGTAACTTTATTATTTCTTGAGATATCTTGACAGAAAGAAGCACAAATCAGCGAGCATTCCGCCATCTTGAATTTTGGCGGACAGGAATGTTACGTCAAAAGCCATAGAGATTATAAATAACACTAGAGGAGGCATTGCAATCTTAATTCAATATAAAAAAGGGAACGCGACTATTGGGGGGCAATAATCTCTATGTCAAAAGCAGGGTCACGCAAGTATTTTATCCAGAGAGCAATTGGTTATTATGAGCCAAAAATCATACTTCAGTAACTATTTCAAATAAGAAAGTGACTGACAAATTTTCAAACAAGACATACTGTTATTTAGTTATTTATATGTAGTTTTATATGAATAAAAGCAAGGGGCAGGGGTTTTTGACGTCACTAAAGCAACAAAATTGCTGCAACTTGCAACAAAATCTGATTTCAACGCATGTTAATTGAAAATGTTTACACATAAATTACAAATCACAAGGCAACATGTGTCGACATTTCTACTTAACATGCGTTGAAATCAGATTTTGTTTCAAGTTGCAGCAATTTTGTTGCTCGTGTAACTCCAGCTTAAAATCACCGATAATGATAAACATTTATCCAAGATGGCGGACAGCTAATTATTTTAAGTGAAAATATTTCAAAAACTAAGCATGATGTGAATAAACTGTATAGGAGATTTGCATATATAATTTTAAAAGTTCTTTCAAATTAAATAAAAATATATACATTGCCGTACCCTTTAAATATATGGCGTCAAGTTTAGAGCATCTTTGAAAATTGTATCTTAATTGATAATTTTTTACTTTTTATAGTTACGTTTCTCAACCCGCAGATTTTTTAAAGAGGTAGCTAACTGTATAAACTAGAAAATAAAGCTAAATTTTGAGACTATACGCCAAAACAATTTTAGGTTATGAACACTTTTTACTTGGTTATATCTCATACTATTATAATATTCAATATTATAATATTCAAGCTAGTTTTCTAGCCGACAATTGTTTCACGCAAACCACTTTTTCCTTTGTCGATATGGGAAAAGTGGATTTGCGTGAAAAAATTGTCCAGTAGAAAACTGGCTGATGGAGAGATTGAGTTTGATATAAGAATCAAAGAGCAAGAATAAGCGAACACATCAAGATAGCATTAAATAATTTAATGAACAAAGTTATTTACACCTAACTATACAAAATTTAATATAAATATATTTTTACATGAATATATACAGTATTTATAGAATCTTAGATGAAAATTGTCAATAATCGTCCTCATCTTGAGAGCTGAAACTTAAAGTTCTTTTAGCAACTGAATATGTGCTAAATGGATAAGACCAGTACATATTAGGATAATAAGGTATAAAACTGTTCGGTAATCTGTAGTTCACAAAGTGAGTTGTTGGATTATAAACTGTTGGAATGTCAGTGTTCATTAAGGTTGGTTCAGGAGCTAGGATCTCGTCAATTGTGAATCCACGTCGTTGGATAACAGGAGCTCCCGGGGCGATTACAGGAACTCTAGGACAATACGGGATAGTTGACTGCGCAGGTATTCTTTCGTAGTTGGGAATGTTAGTTTGTTCAACTAACAATGGTGGACTTTCGTCGACGTTTACTTGCCGAGTAAATCTTTTCCTTCTGCGTCGATATTTTCCCTCGTCAAACATCATTTCACTCGAGGAATCTACTGTCCAATAGTGACCTCTGTTTTGATCGTGGACGTCACGCGGGAGCTTCACGAAACAGTCATTTAGTGTGAGGTTGTGTCTGATTGCATTCCGCCATTTTAAAGGACATGTTCTGTAATAAGGAAAGTTCTCGTAGATGAATTTTAAGATCTCTGCCAAGGTCATCTTACGGTATGGTGAACTTCGTATTGCCATGGTGACGAGAGCAACGTAGGAATAGGGTGGTTTACCAGGCGGGGCTTTAGATCGCTTTCGTTTCTTGGAAACAGTCTCAGCACTGTTGTTGAATAACTGGAACATTGGTTTCTCGCAACTGCATGGATGTTCAGGAATATTTTCTTTATCTTCCAATTTAACTTTTATCATTTCGTATTCCGAGAGCTTGGTTTGGACAGCTTGTGTTTCTACCACCGACATCTTTCTCACGTTACTGTTGCTTTGAAAACTGGACACTGAATGACTTGTGGTGTGAAAACTAGCTGCTTTTATGCTCAAGTCAGCGCGTAGGAAGCAAAGCGTTTGGACAAAGAACACAAAAGCTATTCTTTTACAAACAAAAGAGAAAATCCGGTAAATAAAAAGCTTAATGCCCCCGCACGGCGTTGTTTTTCAACCATTTTCTATTGTGCACTTCTAGACGTTGTGGGAGGTGCGGGGGATGCATGTTTTTTTAGAAAAACAACAAACTGTTTGGTAAAAAAAATTGCCAACGAAAAATCTTTTAAACACAAAATATCGATTGTTAATAATGAGAGTTTTGTTTATGAATTTCAAGGGAAAATTGTTTTACTTATTTATTATGTTTTACTTGGAACATGCATGCGCCTAATATTTCGTGTTGCAGCGCATGCATGGCAATTTGGCTTTTTATAACTTTGCAGTTTGTATTTCTACTTGAAATAGCAGAAACGAGTATTTTATATTAAATGATTGAAAAGTACACCGCACAGCGTTGTTTTCATCCATTTTCTATTGTGCACTTTGTATGTTGTGGGAAGTGCGAGGGGAAAAACTTGTTTGCTTGCCCAGGGTAATTTGGTAAAATAATACACAACATTTAGAGTATTCAATATCACTTACTAAGCATGTGTAATTACATCAGCAAACAATAATTATAGTGATACTTTTACAACGCAAAGCCTCCTCGTTATGATATCGCACTTTTGATATTTCAACTATTTATTATACGAATGTACGGGATCGTTTATAAAAACAACTTGCTTGCTTATGCCCATGCAGGAAATTTGGTAAAATAAACGCCAAGAAAAACCTTATTAAAAGTACTTACTTATTATGCCTACTGGGGAACATGAAATTATCTACTATTTGAAAGTGCACGATAATTTTACATCGAAAGTCTTTTCATAATATTGCAGTTCCTATCTCTAATTTGAAACGTATATCTATAGTTATAAAGATAAATGTAAAATGGCCTTTTCTATAGTGAAATGGTCCTTACAGTAATTTCAAATCCACTTTTCCTTTGAATTTCAAAGAAAAACAAAACACAGGAACTGAGTTGCATAAACAAATAGTCTATATTATTTGCGTCAAGTTGTTTGCATGCGAGGGGTAATTTGCTGTAGGCAACGAGTTTTTCAAATATTACATGTAACCAACCACCTTGGGCGAATTAATATATTCGATACAAACACGGGCAGATTTAAGACCTGCATGTTCATATATGTAGCCGGGCTGACCCGTTTAATAAAGCTCTTATCACGCGACTTTGATAAACATCCAGAATTACATTTCAAAGTTAAATTAACCTATATAGTTTGATAGTATAACAGAAACAGTATAAAGTTCATTCCAACGATCTTTAATGATCAGGAAAAACAATTCCTAACATGCACGATTCATCCCGGTCCCTTATAGATACGACATTAGCAGAGTTTCTTATGTAGTAAATCTTGTTAATTGCAGGCCGTAAAAGCGAGGGACGTGGGTGCGTGCATGGGATGTATGTTGAAAAAGAAAAAAATCAATGCAAAAAAGCAATAACAATACTACGCATGGGTAATAAAAATATAAAATCAAAGTGAAGCTCCTGCAATTGCTATTTTATGCCGTATTGGGAATAAACGTGAAAAAATAGTTGCGATCCATGAACATTGGAACATGATTTTATTCTTTTTATAACAGATGTAAAGATTGGTTGCCCGGAACATGCATGGTAATGTTAGAGGAATCATTTTGATACAATGTTTGTGATGTTGTCTCTGAGTGTGTCAAGCTGAAAAGTTTGCTTGACCGTGATGGGAATCGAACCCGCGATCTTTGGTTTGCTAGTCTGGTGTGGACACACTCAGACAACATCACAAACATATAATATATCATAACCGGAGTGCAATCACACCAGAAACAGAAACTTTTTGCCACAAATTGACAGAAAAATTGATAAAAACTTGTCGTTAAAAATAATTGTTTGGCGGATTATTTCACGCGTGGATGCCATTGTTTGACAATCGATAATGGGTTGTGGGGAAGACTTGTGTTATTTGACATAAATTTTGACAAACTGTAATAATTAATTAGCTTGTTTCCCTACGGCAATTACCATTTCCTGCAATTAATATAGCCAATGATCAATATTTTTACAGATAGCTTAAGAGTTAAGATCAATATTTTACAGATATAAGTAATGGAAAATAGATTCTATAAATTAACACTAATTTTCGAACTAATTATATATCTCAGTGTTGGATTCAGACAATTTTTTACGGGGGTGGGATGGGTGCGAGAACAACGCGTGCCTACTAGTTTCCTGTTTACAATGTGCAGATAGCCGAAATAAAATAAGACCCCTACATTACACAAGAAATCAACTCATGATCTAAAATTTACATAAACTAAAATTTGAAGCAGTGGCGGACACTTTGTCAAACATTGGGGATGCGAACTTGGTATTCCAAAACACCTAGTTCCTGAAATTCCAGTCCTCAAACCTATTGTGGGCTCTTTAAAATGATATCAGGCTTGAATTGTACCAAAACTCTCGGGAAGGGGGTGATCGCATACCTTCCCTACCCCCCCCCCCCTGCATGCTAGTGTCCGCCACGATGGCTGGCACAGGTAAAAATAAAGATGAAAACTGAACTTACTAAATACTCGTTCATCATTAATTTTCTTCACGACAAACCAGAGCCCAGCAGGGAAACTACACGCGAGAATATGAAGATCAAAGAAGAACGACACCCATGTGGTTGGCTGATGTTCTGATACTGAGGCGATGATAGGAATATGAATCTTCGCATACCTAGAGAAAAAAAATTGATAATAAATTCACAGTTTCATTTTGTAACATTTGTTGCGTTTTGATACCAACACATTGTTAACACCTTTATAGAATAATATAAATTAAATTACCCAGTGTCGTATAAAGAGTAAAACCGTCCACTCCAAGGAGCAATATAACCTAAAAATATTCCAACATTACTGCATAGTATACAAAATTAATGCTTATAATAGTTTGGTATAGGATTTTAATAGGTAAGAACGGATTGGTTTTGTGAATTTTACCAACTTTTAAGAGACCTACACTGACGGGAGTTCTGATGTTTTTGCTTAAAAAATACCTTCCATATAAACACCTGAACAGTGAGTCTAGACCATACTTATGCATGTATATCGGTTTACCAACCACGACATTTTTTAGAAAAATTGCAAAATAATCCCCAATCAATTTACCAGAATGTGCTTTTATAAACAGAATCTCTGTTTTTCTCGGAAGGTTTGGAATGTTGCACGCAAACCCGCACTCAGTACATTATATTGTGCACACTGAAGTGAAACCACGCAGATACGGTGTACTTTTCTCACGTGAGAAGCATATTTTTCTCATGTACCTGCGAGATGAAAAGCAGATCTTCTGGTAGGACTACCCTTCGTGTAGGGTTTATGTAAACACCCCAAGTACTGCTTTTATGCAAGCATGTTATTTTTATGCAAAAAATCAAACTTTTGCATGTGTAGGACGGTATTTTGTAATTTGGGTATAATTGACGTCTGTGTAGGCTACATTTTTCATAAAATTGGGGAAATACGTGTTATAGTGAATGAACGTAAACATACCGAAATACGTGAGCAAAACAACAACAGCGAAAACTAAACCCGCAACACCCGCCACCATAACGTGAAAGAATTGTTGTATTTCTGCCCACGTGGCATGATCTTGTAGAAACTTGAGGAAGGCATAAGCCTGGAGCAGAGCGAATACACCTGGAGTGAGAAATAATGAAATGTTGAATACTCTACGGGATTAACATAACAAAACACTCTTCTGGAAGTATGCCTACAGAACACGTAACATTGGTCACTGAGCCTTCGAATTCGAGATTAAGATCTTGGCTTAGCGACTTTTTATCTTGGTAGTTATAGTCTCTTTCACAGCCCACTGTGAAAGTGACATTTAAAATGAACGACACTATTTATAACGATTTGGACATTTTGGGCTATGTATTTTTTGTTACAAAGGGTCATTGAGATGGTACCTGCATGTACTAATTAGTCATTACTAAAGGACGGTCTAGCAAGTCAAAGATGCGACTTCAGTGACAAAATGAAAACTTTGTAACTAAGGGACCAAATGATAGCCTTCCTAACGCATTGTGATAGTCATCTATTGCTTAAGATGGTTTAAATGTCAAAGCAGTTGTAATTCTGAGAAAAGAGATAGTTCCCTGGATCCTATAGCCTCCTCCGCAGGCATCTCTAGGGGTTATAGCCTGCACACGGGTAGTTCGAACTTGGGCCCTTAGTAACGGCGGATTTCTATTGTCTAGCAATGTTTCTATGCTAGCTTCATTTGCGCCAGTTAATAATGGGTTTGTTATTCAGTTGTCTTTTTAGATCAGTGGCAATATCCCATAATTCCATGTCCAAAAAACTGTTTCCATTTTGCTGAGCATGTGTTGTTTTAGGTTAAGAAGCTGAGCACTTACAGCTGCAAATCGTTGGAAATTACAATTTTTGCGAGAATGAACTGTTCAAAATTGAAGTGAAATAAAGAGTTTCATACCAGCAGAAGCCATATGTTCACTTGTTCTGATTGGTTGGAAACCCACAAACGGCACTTGCATTGACAAAATAAGTCCCATTATAAAGAATGTTGAATAAGCTATAAAATAAAAATATATAAATCTCGAGAAATTTTGACAATACGTAATGCTGGTGAATGTAAGATTTTCTGTTTAGTTCAAAACAGAACATTTTTATAATATTTACACTGGATAACGCTCCATCAGTTACAAATTGTTCTCCCTAGAGTTTCGGTGTTACTACAGAAAGAATCAAGGTACCAAGAGAAATCCTGTGGTTCTTAGTAGAAGCTAACATCCTTGTTCTAGTCCTCTGACTAGTTATCAGACAACAGGGGTCGGTTGTATATGAAGGCCGGATAGCACCATCATGCAACCTTTTTAAAAATGCCTGAAAGCTGTGAAACCACGGATATAGACTTCGCACTTAAAATAAAACAAAAGACTTTGTAAACACACAAGTTTAATCTGGTTTACACCAATCAATTAACAGGCAATTTTAAAAAGCTTGAAAAATCATTATCCAGTGGATAGCTCGCTATCCGGTCTTAGGCCTGTTTTATACGTCGAATTTCGGTCGCGTCGCAATTCAAACAATAGATAATGAAGCTTAATGAGGTTTATCATCTCATTATCTATTCTTTCAATTGCATTCGACGCGACCAAAATTCGACGTATAAAACAGGCCTAAGTACAAGCGGCCCCTGAATATTACAAGCATCCAAGCGCGGTGGTAGAGGTGAAATACACAAGCACTGACCACATTGCAACCAACACCCAGAAAGACTTCTATCCAATTGGAGGAATGTATGAATGGAAAAAAGTCAGCTGTATTAGGTAATCATAGATTGCACGGTTCCTTACCTACATAAATACGGTTTGAAAAGCGTCCCATAAAAATAAGGAAGAACACATGTAGAGGAATAAGATTTATTATAAAAACATAGCCACCCCAAGCAGAAACCTAAAGAAATGAACATGTAGACTGAGTGAATGCATGAGAATAAAACAAATATCAGTTATTGAACACTTCATTGTTTACCATGTAGAAATATGCAAGAGCTGCTGATGCTGACCAGAATATGGATCCCGTCTTAACAGATTTTATCTAGAAAATTAATATAGCTCATATATACTGTATATATACACTCTATACACAATTATATTTCAGTCATCATCAGGATAAAAAAACTCATAGCACGAGTTTAAAGCAGCTATCCAGTGCAAGGTGATATCTCACATAGTTAGGCAGGTTTAGGTCTTATGTTATAACACGATAATGTTTTAATGCTTTAGCAATGACATTTGTATATGCAGTGCTCATGCCCTCACACATTCTATACAAAACTACCGGTCTACAAGTAGGACAAATAACTTAAGCACAATAAGGCAAATAACCTAAGCATGCACAATCAGCATATTCCTAATACACTGTAGGACAAGCATTCTTACCCATAAAAAGTAAGTAAATTGTAAAGCAAATATTGCTATTCCTTCATTATCATACGACCCCGCCACAGAACGAGATATATAACCAGGAGCTGAAAAAAAATATCAAGTACTTTTAACAGGCCAAATAACGCTAGGTTGACTAAGGTATTACCCATAAATTAACTCTTCCATATACATGCATTGCAATGCAAAAATAAAAACACAAACAAGTACCAATGGCAATGAAACATGCAGCAAAGAGGCCAGCTCGAGAATTCCATAGTTCTTTTGTTAGAAAATATGTTGCTATTGCAGTCATTCCACTGAAATAAAATGAAATTCATGAGTTATTTCAGAAAACATCCGCACCTCCTCTACGGAGGAAACTCCCTTCTTCCCTTCAGACGTCCTATAGTACAGTTTACTATTATCAAAAGTACTGTAGACTCCCCTTTTAGAGGAATCAAATGGATGTCATATTTCAAACCTGAACATTGGTGCCAAGAATACACAGACATCTCGGATATGTACTGTGATGTTTAACATATTGAGGAATCGATGAAGAGCAGCAGAGGTAACCATCAAACCAGGAAATACCTGAAAGAAATATGGTAAATACTGTTTTCACATTTCACTCAATGTTAAACTATAGCTACATATAAATAATAACTCAATGCATGCATCCAACTACTTCAAAAAGTTCCAGGTGAAACTGTATCATTTTTCGTAAGGTAAATTGACCAAAATATCACAGTTTATTTTAACTGTAGTAACATTTTAACAAGCGTCAAATAAAGAAATACTTAAACGTCAAACACAAATATATTTTGGACTTGGAATTCTCAAACAACTGAAGCAAATTATATTCCAATATATAAGTGACTGACCGATAATCGGAATGGGGCGATTATTGTGATATCGGTAGACAATCTAAATGGCAAAAAATTCCTTTACTACACTGTTGATTGTACACAACCAATTATTACGGAAATCAAACTCTTTAGAGGTTGCGAGTTTGACATGCGAAGAAATCGTGTTATTTCTTATTATTTTACTAATATTTGGCCAAAGAAGCTATTTCAAGTTGTTCTATACCAATTTACGTGCAAAATGAACGACGTCATTGGACTAATTTTGGTTTTAACAATCAGAATTGGGATCAGAATGGGGCCAATTGTTATAACTGTAATTTCCAATTGTCTCGTTAATGGACAATCACTGTATAATAATTCGCACCCCAAAAACTGAGGTGACACCGTGACAGGGTAACACTTTTGGATTCAACTCCTTCAAATTTACAGTGTGACACATAATTGTTAAGCTGGTTTTCCACTTGACGGAATTTTGCGCGCGGAGCAGAATTCTAATTAGTTCCACCCAAGAAATCACAGACAAAGAAGAATTCAGCTCCACCCGCAAAATCGCACACAAAAATGGAAAACTGGCTCAATTAGTTCCACCCATTGAAATGAATATAACTGGAACGCTACCTCCAACCGGAAATTTGAAGCCAAATTTCTCAGTCTTATCATGCAAATGGAGAGCGTTTAATCAGTCAATCATTTCATAAACACGTGTGATCTTACATCCAGACGCGTGTCTGGAGGCCAAATTTGGCTTCAAGAAAAAGATAGACAGTTTATCTGAAGGTAGCGTTCCAGTTATATTCATTTCAATGGTTCCACCCGAGAAATCACAAGATAAAGAAAAATTCCACTTGGCGCACAGAATTCTTCCCAATGGAAAACCAGCTTTAAAGGGGCAATATATGTCACCGATTTTTGGGCAATTCCAACCCTCGCAAATTTTGCCCAAAACTGAAAAAGAATGAGTGTAAGCACAAAATAAAGCAATAACAGACACAAAAAACATGTACAGAAGTCTGGATGGGCAAGATTACGCCAGGATTGAGATGGATTGTGAATGGCATCTTGATTAATTGTTGGCAGACACTTTTTCAAGTTTTAGTCAATTTTTATGAAAATGTCATATTACATGTTTCGTGGAAGTTCAAAGTTGTTTAATATGACTCGTATATCATAATTTAATCCATTTACAATGTTTATTTTTAACTTTGTAGTTCAGTGTTTGAATAAACGGTATTTTAGGTCAAAAATCGGTGACATTGCCCCTTTAATACACCCTTTTGGAAAGTACGTCACCTTTGCTATAGAGCCTCGTTTTCGTGATTGAGATATTGGGATTTAACTAATGCAACATACACCCAAACGAGGTTTTACGGCCAAAGTGACTCACTTTCCGGAAGATTATATCATGCTTTCAACTCACTGTGCCACCAACAATCCTGCCAAGTGGATACCAGGCTCTTTCATCAAACCAATTGAGAAAATTATAGTATCCATGAGACACTAAGTGATGGGTAGCTCTATAGTTGAACCTAAAGAATAAGAATTATGTTATGTACATCCAAGACATGTTAAGAAAGTCAATTGAAAAAGTCGTCAATAATGGTGCCATATATCCAGGCATGTAGGAGGATACAAGAACTGTCTGTGCCAGTGAAGGTAGTGCCAATAATATGAACAAGATTTCATTGATAGGAATGCAACTACCTGGAAAATATAATCTCTCCTTATACTTTTCAGGTAGTTGCATCCCTACCAGCTAATAATCACAAAATATTTAGATTCAGGCACTTGCATTACACTTGTCATTTTAGCTAATCTTTACCAAAATTAATTTTAAATTATCTGTTTTTCTCATATCGATATGCAAATGTTATACAAGGAAATGCGGAGATGAGCAACCAATCAAATTGCACGAAAAGCACTATGCACCTCCACAGTATATGCTAATATTCGATATTTCTTTGAATCGTTATAGTTCCATGCTGCACACAAGGCTGCGTTAGAATCATTACCCACTATTTCCTTCACTGTAAGGTAAGGTAAGGTGAGGTGAGGTAAGGTACTCTATTTAATGAGGGTGACACATGACAGTATTGAGATACTGATAACCCAGTGGCTCTCGTAAAACCCAGTGGTTTTACTCAATATACTGCTCAGAGTAGCCTCCACTGTAAGGTCGTACAGCGACCTATGGCTCAGGTTTTCAGACAAACAAAAAGTTTAATTTTTGCATTGATCCCATTCATTTAGTGATGAAGAAAAATTTTTTCCGAGAAATGTTCATTTATTCATGCACTGGATTTCCCTAAAACCTCTTCACATCAATGCAGATTGCAGCGGCTCTCTACGGCAATTTTCTCTAATTCTGCAGCATTTTTCTTGTCGTGGCAGAAATTTACTTTTCTCTATTTCCTCTGCGTTTAGAGATTTCATTATTTATTACACTTACACATAAACTGCAAAGTATTTTTTAAAAAAGTACCAACATCTACACAACGAAAATTAATTTAAAAATGCTTTCTGCAGATTACTAATACCAATTAGCCTTTCTCGCGAAGGCCAAAATCCGTCATTTTTGGAGTACTGTCTGCCTTCGTGAAATATTCTAGACAATTCAAACAACGTGAAAAGCGACTTTTAAAAGTTGTAACTGTAAATTTACCATTATACAAACAACTATAATACTAAAAAGTTGTATCTCGTGGTGCGGAGACTCTCAAACGTGGGAGAGCGAGTACCCCCAAAATGGCGGGAAAATGCTAATTTTTTGTTTGCAATCACGTGACTTTTCATCCAAATGACGGGCAATCCAACAACTTGTGGACGATTTTTCTCCTATCAGAACGGTTGTAGCAAGAAAAACTGAACGGTAATTCATCTTTTAAGTCTTAAGGTGGCTCGATATAGTTATCACGAAAACCCTGCTCAAGAATCGCGAACTCAAAACCGGGTGACCATTTTTACGCGCAGGTCGCGGAAACTGATTAACAAAATGACAGAACTTCCAAAATGACCTGACGTAAGCAGCTGCTCGCGCCATCTCACGTCATTTCGCGTGTTCTATATAGCGTTTTATGTCAATTGCTGACGTCATTAGAATTTTCCATTTTAGAAAAACAATGCGCTATATCTCTTTATTTTGTTTGGTGACCTATGTTCAAATTTTGCATGCTGTATTGCACCGCTAAAAACTTTCATTTTACAAAAAATAAAAAATTCTGTAATGCCAAAAAAATTTTACCGAAGAATATGACATTTTCGCATTTTCCAAAAAAATGGCATTACAGAATTTTTTTATATTTTGCTAATTGTTAGCTTTTCGTCCAAGTACAATAATGCAAGAAAAAAATTGGGGGTCACCATGCTTCTTTTCTAACTATACGAGACGATAGGCCATTTTGGAGTGTATTTTGTACACGTATGTCGTCATAGCAACGAACTAGCTGTTACTAAAACTAATATCATTTGAAAGTAGAGATATCGAAATATATAAAAAACCCAATATCTGCTGAATATATTCTAAAAATGCATAGTTTGAACATTTCAAAGTGTTGAACACCTGAATTTTTGAAAACTGTATCGAGCCACCTTAAACTGTCTCTAAACTCGATCAATATATTAAAATAGCCGTTTTTTGTTTTACCTGCCCGTCAACTGAAATCCCAAAATTACGTCTTTGCAAACAAGGAATTCCCAAAAAATTTACACTACGACAAAAAACCCCGTTGTTCACAGTGATCCACAGCATTTTCTTCTCGAACTACGGCGTTGCCGCGATAAAATCCCAGCCCTGCTCATGCTTAATACCAATCGGTTCCATGGCTTTTTTATTCTCTATCGTGTAATTGAAATTTTTGTCTAAAGGTCCATTGACAATGCTTTTCCAATTTTTTCTTCATTTCTAACTACCTATTTTTATAAAAAGTTGTAAATATTTTCACATAATCTCCCATGATAAGAAAATGCCTAAATACAGTATGTTTATATAAAAAAATCTATATATCGAGATGTCAAATGAATAAATCGAGATGCTTTTGTAAAATAAATCGCACTTGCAAACACTTGTTTCAAAAGTTTCCCTAGTTTAACTTAAAATAGATTGAATGGGGATTCTTTTGTGAATATATATGTATGCTCACTTAGATTATCCACCAAACCCAGCATTCTTGTTCAATCAAGTGGAGTGCAAAACACGTCTTTCAAGTTCACCTTATCACAACCTGCACACCCGGAAATCTATACATACATGAACTTGCGGTTACAGCTTGGCGCGAAATAAAAAATATCAAAGTTTATTGCCAACTAGCTTCTGTATAGCTGAATTGGAATTCTTCTGTTAAAGCTGTTTTACACATCAACCGTATTGTAGCGTAGTAAATGCAATTGGCTGCTCCATTTACATGTACTGTTAACACGGAGTAATCCGGATTTTCGGAACACAAATAGAATCAATCTGAAAAGGGTCGCATGACTGTTCTGGTAGCTAGGGCAGCCAGAACAGTCATGTGACTGCGCTCAGTTCGATCACAGAGAAGAGATATACAGAAAGGAAGCACGCGGCAAATTGTGTCACGCCGATATATTCAGTCTATTAACTATACAAAATTATATTAATTCACTATTTTATTAAATTTTGATCATGCAGAGGAAAAAACTATACATATTATAGAAGTAAACATGTTTTTTTTTATGCGAGAGTTATATTTTGAGGAATTTATATCATTTGCTGCTTTGTTTTTTATACATAAAGCATCTGAAATTCCCAGCCACTCCAGCCAGTGCTTTTCACGATTTTAATAAGGAGTAGATAGGGAAAAAAACAAACTTTTGCAAAATAAAATGTTATGTTAACACTTTTAATAAAAGGAAATCAATAAAAGTGATCGCTTACCGTTTTTTTTCTACAATAATTTATTGAACAAAATTTCATGAGTATCTCATTTTTTTTAAAAAAGCGATTTTCACCTTTCGAACGGCGTTTTCCCTATCTTTTGCTATGAAATTTCAGCGACGGCACTGGCTGGAAGATTTTGCGTGGCGCGTGGAACCTGCGTGGAACGCGTGACACAAAAATTCAGGTTATCGAGGTGTCTGTTTCCTCTCTGTATATCTCTACTCTGTGGTTCGATTCTAGTAGTACAATGAGTAGTACTCTGAACAGTAAATGGAGCAGCCTGCAGGACTCTGCTATGTAATAGGGATTTTAAGCTTCACGTTTGCAGGGACGGCAAACGGCAATGCCGACTTTTCTTGGCATAATTTTCATTCGATTTCTGCGTGTCATCTTTTCTTTCATACAACACAGGAATAGTTAAGCATTCTAGATATAAAACAACAAGCCCATTTACTTCTTATTGCTTTACTGTACATAGCGTAAAATTTTTCTTTGCCTGACGTTTGTCGTTGAACGCGAAGCTTAAGCTCTCTATTATTGCTGCAAGGGCAGGCTAGTCCTTGTGTTACAGTAGAATAACAATTATAGCAGAGTTAAAATTAACCCAGCAATATAGAATAAACAAGAAAAAAAAACTCAACTACAAAATCAACAAAGTTTTATTATTCACCACATTTCTTCTAATATAAAAACAGAATAAAGAGATTATGAAAGTTACTATTACGTCAAGCATATTACTATGTGCCAAATAGTGGAATAGTGTAAATTAAAAAATACCAAAAAATAACTATATAAGTTAAAGTATTTCTATTTTCATTGATATCGGTTTTTATTATTTTTACAACAGCCTATGGCTATGACAGAATCCTTTGAACAATGAAACAAATACATATGATAAACAGCTGCAGTTATGGACAGCTGTTCTCCAATTGAGGCACTTGAACGTCAAATTTCCAAAACATAAAAGAACTGCAGTATCTCAAATATGAGGCAGGGAAGCTGGAAAAGGAACTTGCATTCTTAGACAAAATGACTTGATGATTTTTAAATGATTTTATGCAATTGAGATCAAGCACAAGCCTGCATATGTCTATTATGTATTTATATTATTCAATTATGCAGTAATACCCACCAATGGCTTTTACTGTACATTAGTTAGACCATGAGTTTCTCAATGTTAGCTCTTTGACTGCAACACTTCCAGAAGTCAACATATTTTCTCAATTCTTACCTGCCCATCCCATTTTAGGTTAGTCATTCCATCCAGGCCTCGATATAAGTGCTGGTCACCGGTCAATGACCGGTAAAATTTCACAGTTTGACAGGCAAATATCGTCGCCTGGTGGACATGTGTGACCGGTAAATTTTTTAATGAAAAAGTACGTTAAAAAATGGAGCAGATTCTTGATTTCCAATGTTCCAAAGAAGTGTACTGTATGTTCGTCTACGGTGCAGGCTAATAAGGTCGGCGAAGTGACACATTTTGTCATACAGATATGATATACCGGAGGCATTGTGTTTGAGGGTTGTTTTCCAGTTACGCGTTTTTACATGTGCAACGGAAAAGTTTAAATCTTTTAAAATTTCATATAAGTGCAAATAACCTTAACAAACAGTCAAATACACATTAAATCACACACAAAACTGAATGCTGGCCTTTTATAATTTAGTTATTTCATAAGTAGGATGTAAAGCTATTTCAACTTTTACATACATATAAAAAACGCGTAACTGGAATGCAGCCTTAAAGCATGCTCGCAACTTAAACTACAGTTGTCATTTGTGACTTATATTAATTTGCTAGTAAACAATGTTAATGTTATTAGTCATAATTATTATGATTACTACTACAGCTTTGATAAACTATACAATTGTTTCTAAAGTTACGAGTCACACGAAAGATGAGGGGAAAAAAGAAGCTAAGGAGTGACAATGACCGGCATAAATTCCGCTATGACCGGTAAATTTAGTGATCCACCGGTCATAATGACTGTTATAACGTCCAGATTTATTTCGAGGCCTGATTCCATCACTCATGTGGGATAATTCTGCAGTACATCTGGGAGGTACGCTTGCTAATTGCAGTAAATGGATGGGGGGAGAGTCTGTAGTATCAGTGAGCTTGCTATACACAGGTATGTTTTGCAAGTGTCATCGGTTGCTGTAAACTGATTGTAGTGTGCAGTAGTCTCAATGTTTCCTGGTTAATGTAACCCACAAGTGCAGGTCTCATTAAAAAGTCATGTTTATGTTATGTTTATCTGTAAATTTGATAGAGATTAAAACAAGTCATATTGTCAAAACAGTTGGTAAAGATTGGATGGCTTTAAATGCATTTGTATTTTAAGTAATATACTATACAGCATGAGCATCCAATCTGTACCTGATCTATACTAGTGTATGGCTCGCTTGTAAATAAGATAGAGATTGGCTGCTCATGCTTTATATATTACATATTTAGTACATTTTTCATGTGTATGTGAGATTTATAAATTGCCACCCTGCTTCTCCTAATCAATGTCAGTTTTTTGGGCAAAGGAATAAAGCAGCCGGATAATTATGTGCCAATTTTTCAGATTTAATAGTAAAAATGCAGAGACATCAAAAGTGGGCAACTGATCTTAATTGTATGAAATAAAGTTTCCACAGCGAGTGTCATTGCTAGCAGCAGTAGCGTCAATGGCCAATTGAAAATTTGGTGCATCTCAATCTACAGTAAAATTTACATGGAATGCACCCTGGTAGTCAGCCTAAAAGACAAAATGTTTCTCCACACTGTGCTTTTTGTTGTGCATGTGGAAGATCATCTGAAGCCTAACCCGGACTCATCAAGCCATCTGCTCACTGGCAGATCCACAGAGCTAGCATGTATAAGGCAAGTACAGTAACCACTCGGCTGCCGAGGATTTGCTTGAAATTAATGAAATTTACTTGATGTCATTTTAGCAAGCTGACAGAACGAAGAAATGAACCAATCAAATTAATTTTAGACAAATAGCCAAAGTTCATTGGTTTCCAATCCACTAATAACCACTTCCTATTTTATATATTGAAAGCTAAATTAATTTTATTTTCAGCAGGCATTTTGCATTTAGAATGAAGGCTCTTCCTTAACTGTTATGATGGACCTTCCATGAAAACTCGAAAAAGTGTTTTTATTTTCTCCATGCTGACGTTTATAACAGCGAGACTTGTTTATATAAACATTCTTGGGGGCCAGATCGAGTTTTAATATAGTTTGCATTATTGTTTAACTTTGATCACAAATGACCCATGAAATAAACAATTTTCTCAACAAATTTCTTTAATTATTTTGCAGTCCAACAATAACAGAACATATTCAGAAAATATGCAGTATATATACGGGCTATACTATCTCTATGCCCTATGAATATAATACTATAATTTGCAAACAAAGGCATCAGGCAATTCATGCAGTCTATAAAATGAAATTTCAACTCACCAAGGATCAAATTCATGAATAATGCTTTCAAAACGGATAACTGCAAACAAACGACTTGCAAACCCAACTAGCCATGCCAAAGATAAAACGACAAAACATAAAAGTGACTGAATCCCAAATGCTTGGTTTTTATTAGTAAGCGCCTTGCTCACGTCCATTTTGAATAATTCAGACATGTGGACCATGCCTGCAGAAATCCATGTACACGTTTTAGGAGAATAAACCAATGAGAAGCCTAGGAATGCGTCATGTGATCACTTAAAATCACGCGGAAACTATGGCCGATTGGCGGAAACATCTGGCAGAAATAGTTTTGTCAGTTTTATTTCTGTTTTATTTTTCAGAACTTATGTATTCTTTATTGCATCTAAAATTATTAAATGATCTACTTGTGACTGATGTGACAGTCACATCAAAATGTAGCTTCTCACAGATCTCAAACTGAAAATGGTATTCCATACCCTGGTTCCAGAGGCTCTCAATCAAAGAACAGCGTCAGCGAGGTAAAATAACGGCGAGCACTACGTATTTATTTCGCCTCGCCGTAATATTGCCTCGCCTTTTAAGAGCCTCTGGAACCAAGAGGTAGGTATTCCGCTCTAATGTTTCTGATTTAAATAATTTTCAGGCCGGGTTACATCTATATGTTTTCATCTGTTTGAATTTTTAGCAATGGAATTAATTTAATCAGCATTCAATACATATGTATGATAGGAGGCTATTCGCCGTCTTTCGCGTGAAACGTTTGGAAATATTGCAAAAAAGCGCCTTAGTTTTGGTGTTTCTATATATAACTGCCCTAACACTGCCATTGAATTAAAATATTATTAGGGTAGGGGGCAACCTCGTTGGGGGCTATTACATGACATCACTTGCTGTCATTTTCATACTTTAAATTGAGCTGACTTGTTTTTTATAATGAAATTAATCCCCGTTTTACTTACTAAAAGGCTAACACGTAGCCAAGGTCCATTCATGTGAACCTCTTAGGTTTATAATTAAAACGAGGATTATTTTCATTATAAAACAACAAGTCAGTACTATTTAAAGTACGAAAATGTCAGCAAGTGAATGTCATTTAATTTTGCCTAACAGAAGCTCCAAAACTGAGGCGCTTTTTTACAATATTTCCAAACGTTTTCCGTGAACGACGGCGTATAGCCTATCATAAATACGTACTGAATTTAAATGCTGATTAAAAAATTCCATTGCTAAAAATTCGAACGGTTGAAAACATATTCATTTCACAGATCTAAGGCTGGTATATTTTAATTTAAGGTATATTATAATTAGTTGCGGTAGTAATCGTGTGTTTCTAAAATGCTCCGCGGTCCGCCATCCGCGGTCCGCCGTCCGTCCGCCTTTTATCTACACCCCATTTCCGTGCATAGCATAGCATCAGAATCAACACTGGCATCAGACATCAGTGTTATCACTTCATCAACATCAACATCATTGTCGTAATCATCAGCAACATCATCATAACTGTCACTCTTTCAGCACTCCGGCGTCTGGTATTGTTCCGTCGCGTAGCTCTCTGTGTTCCATTAGTCTGGTGATGATTAATGATGACCCTCAGCTTGTCAGATTTCCCGCTCTTTATGTACTCAGTTAATTAAGCGATGGTGTTTTAAATACTTATTGAGCTCTGGATCCTTCAGCTTGCATTCCTGTTTGCATAGCTCATCCCAGTTATAGTCTATCCTTGGCTAAATCATTATATACAAGACCTTAAGAAGATAAAGACTACATGAAATTTTCTGCACGAGACTACTAAAGCTCATGATGGTTCATTGTTCACGCCAGATGGTCGCAGATTAGTTAATGGCAACAACTTTCTCTATTAAGTTCTTTGTATGTTTGCATGGCGATAAAATATAATAGTTTTGTTTGTGGAAACACGACGTAAATTTATCAAAACCAAACAAAAAACCAAAATTGAAGCGAAACCGTTTTCAGAAAAAATATCCAAACGGAGTACATAACCTATGCGTCAAATGCCCAATTCCAGATCTGAAGGAATTTCTTACTCCACCCAATGTCATTGTCCCCAAACATTTTATAGATGTGGAAAGTGCTTCCTACGAACTATTTCTAACTTTCTCTATGCCTTTAATGAAAAACATCCATCCTCCATAGTAGCCAAAATTAAGAAAATAAATGACGGCCTTGAAAAAACAGGAGAAACAGCTTGAAGTATTCAAGAGAGTTTTTAAAGGGATACACAACAAGGGTACTCTACAACAAAAAGGAGAAATGAAAACAAAACCAAAGCTGCTACTAAGAAGCGAAACCGTTTTCAGAAAAAATATCCAAAGGGTATATAACCTATGCGTCAAATGCCCAATTCCAGATCTGAAGGAATTTCTCACCTATCCACCCAATGTCATTGTCCCCAAACATTTTATAGATGTGGAAAGTGCTTCCTCCGAACTATTTACAAGAGACGCTCAATGTGCAGCGGATTTGCTGCAACAACCGTATGGTAGCAATGGAGCAGCAAGCCTTTGTAACAAACAATCTCCCCGGCAAAGGCTCAGGAAAAAGTTTTTGCTGTCCTTAGGTCTGAAGAATGTTTTAATGGTGGTGGTGATAGCGATGATGGATCGAATGATTTCAATGCAATTATAGGTTTTTTTGTGTTTCTATATATCATGAACATAGTGAATTTTTACTCAGTATTAAAAAAGAGTTAATATTTTTCGTGGCCCATCACCCACCCCCAATTTCGCAAAAATGTTGGCATAACCCACCCTTTTTCGTTCATTTATTTTGGGTGGCCCACCCCCTATTTCCACCAGCCCACCCTCCCAGGTAAAAAATGAACGGTCCCTAGCCTATCGGGCTATACTTTTATGATGGGAACCTCACACTTCGGAAAACGGCACCTACCATAAGCGTACTGCCTGGGGTGGGGGGGGGGGCAGCTGTTAGGAATTTTGAAGATATTTGCTCCTACCGCAGATCGAAGACCTAGCCTCCGTAACAGCGCAGGTAAAAGGTAACACGGTTATGCAGACCGTGTTCCGCTCCCCCGAGACGAAACTGGGAGAGAAACACGGTCTGCGTTACGGAGGCTACAGAAGGCCAGAACCAAAGGAGAAAATTACATTGGACAGAAGACAAAAAACAGTGCAAATTGAAGAACTCACAAAGTCACAATATGATATTTGCCAACATTTTAATTTTGCAGACAACTTTATTAATCCAGTTCTACCATTGAGATCAGTCAATGGAAGCCGAAATATTGCGAGTGTATCTAAAAGTCGAGGGTCGAGAGTCGAGAGTAAAGGTCGAGAGTCGAGAGTAAAAGTCGAGAGTCGAGAGTAAATGTCGAGAGTCGAGACATTTTAATTTTGCAGACAACTTTATTAATCCAGTTCTACCATTGAGATCAGTCAATGGAAGCCGAAATATTGCGAGTGTATCTAAAAGTCGAGGGTCGAGGAGTCGAGAGTAAAGGTCGAGAGTCGAGAGTAAAAGGTCGAGAGTCGAGAGTAAAAGTCGAGAGTCGAGAGTCAAAAGTCGAGAGTCGACAGCAAAAGTCGAGAGTCAACAAAAATGTCATCAGAAACAACAAAGTCAGAATATTTTTAACACAATATATAGCCGTTCTGTAACAACGGCTGAAATACAAACTTTTGCATAAATATAGCTACAACAGTCAATAATATAAACGTAAACAAAAAAGACTGGATACGAAACTAGTCACATGTGATGCTTTCGTCTTGCTAAATTTTTTAACATGTCATTTCATCAAATTCATTTGCTGCCTTTCAATGTAGACACATAAGCGGAATTTTGACAGCCAGCTCCGGTCCGCTTGTAACCTTGCTTGCAGCTAACTACCGTCGCTTGCAACTAAGGATGAACAGTTGCAAATAAAACATTGTCTATTCTCATGACCCAAAGTTCAATGTTTTTACCGAGAAACTTCAATGTTTAATCATTTGATGGTTTCAATGCCGGATGATTCCAGCTATAGTCAAAGTATAGACTAATTGTCTAATTTTGATAGTAGGCAAGACGTGGACAAAATTCATCACCACAGCTAGAAAGAGCATGTTAAAATTAGTAAAATTGCAAAGTTTGGACGCGAAAACTGTTGTAAAATGCGGAAAATATAGCCTTCGGAATTTGCAAATTTTGCATTAATTTCTATCACGCGCGGGAAAATGCACCACTTTCGGCCCAAATATGGATTTTGCTCTTCTTGCCTAGATCAAAATTAGTCTATAGCTGGAATCATCCGGCATTGAAACCATCAAATGATTATCACAAACATTGAAGTTTCTCGGTAAAAACGTTGAACTTTGTCATGAGAATATAGACAATGTTTTATCTGCGACTGTTAACGTTCATCCTTAGTTGCAAGCCCGGAGCTGGCTGTCAAAATTCCGTTTATGTGTCTATTGAAAGGCAGTGAAATGAAATGACATTTAGCAAGATAAAAGCATCACATAACACACATGATACTGATTAGTTTCGTATCATGCAGTCTTTTTTGTTCACGTTTTTATTATTGACTGTTATTGTAGCTATATTTATGCGAAAGTTTGTAGTTCAGCCGTTGTTACGGAACGGCTATATCAGTTATTGTGCTAAAAATATTCTGACCATTCTGTGATTCTGACTTTGTTGTTTCTGATGACATTTTTGTCGACTCTCGACTTTTGCTGTCGACTCTCTCGACTTTTTGCTGCCGACTCTCGACTTTTTGCTGCCGACTCTCGACTTTTTACTCTCGACTTTTTACTCTCGACTCTCGACTTTTTACTCTCGACTCTCGACTTTTACTCTCGACTCTCGACATTTACTCTCGACTTTTACTTTCGACTCTCGACCTTTACTCTCGACTCTCGACCACAGATTAAGAGGACCAGCTTAAGAGATTAAGAGGATTAGCTTTATAGTTAATTAACAGTCCTAACTAAATAAACATTATTTTATATAATATATATATATGTACATTTTAATATAAATTTTTATGCTATATTAGTACTCCATGTAATTCAGTTTTCCTTTAAAAACTGCAAATTGGTTTTAATTAAACAGATTGATTGATTGATTGATTGATTGATGTCCGACTTCAGTCAAAAAAGCGTAAGGGCTTCGTCACTGCGCATGCCGTACTGCGCATAGCTTAGCAAGTGACTAGAGGCAGTCACCCCCCCGACATTAAATTTCAAAATGGCGCGCAACAATTTATTTTGAGACAACAAACATGAAAATAAACTATTTTTATTTGCCCGAGAGAGGGATTGTGTGGTTAAATTTGTGTTTAAAACTTTCAGAGTCAGTACGCGTATTGGAAAAGTGAGTTCATCACACTTAGTTTGCAATATTTTACGAATTTTTCTCTTTTTCGATCGTCGTAGGGTGAAAAACTATAGGCGAAATGAAAATGCCACTTTGCTGAGGTATTTGAAGTCATTTTCTACAATGTACGATGTGTTTCCTTGCACTTTCGACGATGTCTGATATTTATTGACAAATTATGTGCATAATTATAGTTTTCTTTCCATAGATATTTTAAACTAGAAGTAGAAGACAACTAGATACCAACTTAGTTTTGTTTACAAATTTTACATTGTATGCATGAATGTATACAGAGTATTTGTAAATATTAAATTAATTCATCTACTTATACAAAGACTCTCTGATAAAAATCTTGTAACAGGAAATGTGAGTTTCAGAGAATGTGTGTCTGAGTGTCTCAGACAAAATTATTCTAGAATATTTATTAAAATATCTCACCTACAAACAATAAATTCCCATGAATAGTGATCCAATCACATTTTGTTCTGATACATGAAAGCGAGTTGCCCAGGCTAAACCGGCATACATGACATAATTATTGAAAAAGCCTAATTTGTTGTATAAATCTGTCTAACTACTCACATGGTAATGACTTTAACCTGCAACAAGAGTTATCATGCAAATGTGCAACTCCCTGTTGTTGTTATATATACTAATACTACTTTACATATAACCCATTGAGTCGCATTGCGGCCCGATGTGCCCTACTTTATTGTTTCACTGTCTAACGCCAGACAATTTTACTTGTCAAGGGGGGGGGGGGTGCTGGCCCTTGATGGGTTAAACATTAACAAAATTAAATAGTATAAAAAAATACAATTCAACCTCAATGCACAATGAAATGGCCATAAAGTAGACTGGGGGGGGGGGGCAATGTCTATTTATTCAATGTCTATTTATTTGAAGATAGCCAACTTAAATGTAAATAGCTTAATGAAACATCTGGATGAAATTCGCTTAATCCTTAACAATAACGCCCTTGACATTCTTGCAATTAATGAGTCCAAAATTGATAATCAGATTTCAAATAATGAGATACATATTGATGGTTTTAATATAATTCGTAAAGATCGAAATAGGTTTGGTGGTGGTGTGGTTCTATATGTTCGCCAAAACATATCATTCTCAGATAGAATAGATCTAATCCCTGATGAACTTGAGATAGTCTGCATTGAATTCAGTTT